GAATGAATTGATAGCCATAATAATACAATTATTGTGATACATTTCTTCCGTGAATAAGAATGTAAAAGTATAACTTACCTACCTAATTGATATAAATTTAATTTGTTGACCAATGAAAAATTTTGCGTCGACAGTGGAGGGGTTATAAGTGGAAAAACAGATCTATGTAGCTTTACACTAAAAATGATAAAATAAATAATAATAAAAACTGCGTTTTAAACACCGACTTCCAGAAATCAAAAAATAATAACAAACAAATAGTAAAAACTAAAAAGCAAAAAATACTATTATTAGTACTGATAGGTTACCCCATCCACTGATAGGTTTGAAGTCGGCGCCATTTTTTTTTTAAGTGGGGAAAATCATCTAATGACTGCTCCCGCCTACCCAGGCGGGAGCAGCCCCGCCTGGGTGAGGCGGGAGGGAGTGTCAGACTCTTACTGACTAAAAACCACCCCGTTCCTTCTCCTGCACGTCGAGCCGGAGCCCCGGTTACCCGTTAGGTTCTCCGCGACTCCGAATCGGCATCGGCCCTATTGGGCCCCATCTGTGGTGGTCTGATGGCTCTTTGAGGCGCGCGCGGAACGCGACGCGCCGTACGCTCGGGTCTGTTTCTGGTCGGACGGGGAGCCACCCATGCTCGCCGTCCGCAGGCCCGCGCTTACGGTGGCCGGAGATCGTCCCGCGATCCCCGACGCCCGGTGTGTCCTTCGCGATGGCTGGGTTGCGAGGAGGCAGCGCTTCGCTGCCTCACGCGTCCCGCCTCCTCCTTAGCTAGCATGACTGCTTCGCAAAAGGAGGAGACGGCATCCCAGTCCCCCTCGCTCCGCATCATGGCCTGCACTAGGCCCGGACGCGAGAGGTCGCCATCGCCGATCACTTCCCTGAGGGCACGGCGGTGCTCAGCCCACGCAGGGCATTCCACTACAGTGTGTTCCACCGTGTTCTCAGGGCGGTCCTCGCAAGATGGCGCCATAGGCTCATATCATAGTGATATAACTTAATGGCCACAAAATTGTAAACTAGGTATCTATTAAGGTTTTAATAAATAATGGCGCCGACTTCTAACATATCAGTGGATAAGTAACCTATCAGTAGGTACTAATAATAGTTATTATTTGCTATTTAGTTTTTTGTTTTTGTTTGGCTATGAGTAAGTAGTAATAGTATATAGTAAAATTTAATTAAACGAACTTCAAAATAAAAAAAATACAAAGCTGAATAATGACAATATTGTATGAATACGGCTTTTAAAGCCACGTGAACACTATAGGAAATATCAATTATTCATATTGTGATGTTTTACAGCCTACTGGCGTTTGCTCGCGACTTCCTACGCGCAATCCCGTTTCTTCCATTCCTGTAGGATTTTCAGGATTTTTTTCTGCCATAAGAACCTTCTCCTGACGATAACATACACAACAAAAAACAGATAGACGGCGGATAGCGACTTTGTTTTGTACTATGTAGTGATAGATAACCTTCCTCTTAAAATACACTATACAATACAAAAGGTTTTTTTTTTATTGGTCTGATTGTTCCAGAGATACTTGCATTGAAACAAGCTAACAAACAATCTCTTCAGCTTTATATATTAAAAAATATATAATAGTTAGTATTAGTATAGAGACACGTTGGTTTATTAATGCATATGCTACGTAATACATTTATATGTATTTTCTATTATTTACCTTATGGGAAATAAATATTGTATAATATACAATAATGTTCATCCATCATTATAATTATATACTTGCCTCGGAAGCACTGTTTGTTTATAGAAAAGTACATATGTATACATGATCTCTTTCTCGCACACATATATTAGAACTAGGTATTAATCGAGTCATGGCATAAAATAACTCATAGTAATACTTAATAGGTACCTAATACATTATTTACTGAAACAGAGAACTCGGGAAATACTCATAGTGTATTATGCAGTGTTGCCAGTTAATGAGTTTGCTGAGTTGCCAGAACAGAAAATGCGTTTAAGAAGTATATTTACTTAGAAATTTTGCTTGCTTTACTTGCTTTACTTATTGCAAGATTCGGTATTGTGTAGACCAATTACTATAATCTTATACTATTATATAAAACGAAAGAGTTTATTTTTGTTTGATTGTTTGAACGCATTCAAATCTACAAGTCTGATTTGAGTAATTATTCTTGTGTTGGATAACGCATTTATCGAGGAAGGCTTTAGGCTATAAAACATCACGCTACGACCAATAGGAGCTGAGCAGAGCGTGTGAAACCGCGTGGAAGTAGCTAGTTAATAAAATATGAACTTAGGTATAATTGTACAAAGTCGTGTTCTAATAATTATCTGTGATTAATTTGATGAAACTCTTTTTATTATAATAAAGAAAAGATCTTGAGTAACACGTATCAAAATGTGGTGTTCCAAATTCAAATTCAGTTGAAACACAGTTGTTGTTCTAGCCGGTCCATTCCAGCCGACCGACGCATGGCTCTCCCACACAAAAATCACACCAGTATCTGTTTTTACATGACTATAATGTTGTAATTACCATTCTTTTACTTTTCAGGTCCTGTCTATAGTCATGTTTTCGATGTCTACGCTGTTCTTTATTCTGGAGTCTGGAGTCAATAAGCACGAGCTGACGGTGGAGAGTGTGCACTTTGCTAAGTACCTGGGCCTATACTTGAACTCCTCGTCAGTTCATATCATTCTGTCCATCACCATGATCATCTCCTTATTATGGATGAAGTTCTCCGTCCTGTTGATCTTGGGCATTCTCAGGGTATGTAATTTTAAATCAAGAACTATATTTTTTTATGGAATTTAAGCAGAAGGATCTCTTCGCTGTGGGTCTCTTCTATATAATAGGGCTTGCCATAATTCCCGCAAAGGTTATGCGTGAGTCTTCCTCTCTTACTTTTCAACGAAAAAAATTTAAATAAAATTTGGTATATCTAGTAGAAGTAAATGCAATTTTGTGGTCCAAAGATTGTTGAATCTTTGTATACTGTGAACTTGTATGTTTGTAATTGTAAACGCACCCACGATACAGGAAAACATCCGAGTGTATGTTATATGGTATAGTCTGAAATATCACATGGAGTAATTTATATCCCAGAAAGGTGGACGAAATCACTAGTAGATAGTAGTAAGTAGTAGGTAACTAAGAGAATTGTTTTTTTTTTCAGAACAATGCCAACTTCGTGCTGAGTCACTTCTTGTTTGGCATCGTGATCAATATCATCAGTATACTGAGCGCTCTACTAGTGCTGCTGCAGAGCTTACAGAGCTGGAAACTTTCCTTTGTCCTGTTCGCATTGTCCCGTAAGTGAAATTCAACACTTTATTTGAGATAGATTTAATCTAAAATATTTCAAATAATATTGATTATAAACTAGCTTTAAATAAAAAATCATCTTTGCTATTACCTATTTTATGAGTGAAAGGATACTAACACATATCGTCATCATCATTATCATTTGTATAACTATTTTTATGGCATAAGCCGGTAAACGAGCAGACGGATCACCTGATGGTAAGCAATCGGCGTCGCCCAAGGGCACCCGAACAACCAGAGGCTTTACAAGTGCATTACCAGCCTTTTGGGGATATGAAATTTGAGGGTTGTTCGGGATTCGGGATTAGGGAGACTAGGGAAGAGGGTAATTGGGCCCCCGGTAACCTCATTAACACGACCAAACACAACGAGCGTGGTTTCACGTCGGTTTTCTGTAAGGCCATTCGCGCTACACCTATAAATATAGCTTAGTGTAAAATGTTACTTGTCAATCGATAGTAAATAAATAACTATGGCGCTTGTTACCTTGAAGATAATAACAATTATGTAGATCGCTGCCGGAGGCTCCAAAGAAAACCAAGAACTTCTTAGACAAACTTTAATTAATATTAAAAAGGTTACAAATTAATTCCTATCTGCTAATACAATTGATCCTGTTCGATGCAAGAATCAGAATGATCATATTATAATGCTAATGATTAATCCTAAGTTACAATTAGAATGACGAAATCACTTTCCGGTAAGTAACCGAGTCAGATATCGAACAATACCGCGAGGTGTCGCAATCATATTCACATGTAAGGGTCTTACTAAGCATTGGCATTGAGGCCGATGCACACTTTGCACTTTACGTGTCGTAATGCACTATAACACTGGTACTAAGAATCAGCATTAAGGCCGATGCACACATAGCACTTGACGAGTTGTGAGTAGTCATGTACTATAACACCTCCACCCGCAGATCAGCAACTATTTTCGAGACATGAATTGAGAAAGAGTTGCTGGATTTGGTTGTCTTGTCTCTGATTCTCCAGGCTTTGCATATACTGTCTCCTCCTGAAGAGATTTTGTTTGGAGTTTTCTGCCTTGAAATGTCTTATTGCACCGTATAATAAGTAGTATAATGAGTGCAAATGCACTTAACAGCAGCAAGGTGTAAAAAGGGATCGTTGTGTGGTACAGTGCGTCATCTGGGATTTGGTTGAGTCTTATTGCAGGTTGCGCCATTAGTTGATACTGGACATCATGTACTCTTGAAAGATCTATCGATTTCAGTTTCAGTTGCGTCATCTTTTCAGGTTTTATGTCCATGTTGTAGGATATATTCATAATCTTCAGGGGGCGTCCCTCCACGTGATCGTTGACATTGGTGATAGCAAATTCTGAGGTATATAGGAAGCAATTTTCGGGAACTGTGGCTAAGTAGCTTCCATCTACTGTTATATAGTCTTCCTTTCCACATACAGTGTGAATCCTTGTTGAATTCGGGAAAGATATGACGTAGTGTCTTTCGTCCAGTTCTTCCATTGAAGCCTTTGCTAGGGTTAGTTCCATGACGTCACATTTCTCATCTATAGTTTGGTCCAAGATGAGATGCTGTATACAATCAGGTTGTTGCCGAAGCTGGTGGTCCATCTTGTCGGCACAGAGATACCAGTTATCGTACTTCGG